AAAAAATAATGTCATCATCATCATCATCATCATCATCATCATCATCATCATCATCATCATCATCATCATCATCATCATCATCATCATCATCATCATCAACAGACCATCATTAGAGCATGAGATGGTATCAGAACTTTTTGAATGAAGAGCTCAACCCTCGTTGCCGAAGATGCAACCATGAAAAGGAGAATGTCAAACATTATTATGTTTGAATGTTCAGGAACAATGGCAACTCGAATGGAGTTATTTGGACGAGTAGAGGTGCCTCTGAGTATAACGACAATGGAACCGAAAAATAGCCTCGCTCTCGCTCGAAGGTTTCTTCGTGGAGCCCACCAGGCCCATTAAGGAAACAAAAGAAATCATCACCATCATCATCGTCGTCGTTGTCGTCGTCGTCGTCATGATTGTTAAAGAGAGACGAATACCTTTAGAGTTCGCAAGTTCAACAGTGCCTTAAAAGGCAGAAGTCGATTTTTTAAAATCAGCTGTTATTGACACTTCCTTGCGCGACAAGTGTATTGATTTAGTACATCCTGAGTAAGCTTGACAATGCCTAACTTTAAAAGATGTGTCGCTTTCAGTTAAAAGAATAAAACAATTTGTTTAAAAGTTCAGCTCTACATACAGCTTTCTCGGATAGCTAAAAGCATTTACAAAAAAGGTAGACAGGGTCTAAATGACACATGTGCTTAGAATTTTACGAGTATAGCTTTCACAAACAAATAGGGCTGTAAAGTGTAATGATCTAACAAGGAAAAACATCCACATATGTTTACGAGACACGAACATGAGGCTTATTAAAGCTGAAAACGTATTCTTTTGTCTTTCTTAAAAATTATATAATTGGGAGCATGGTACGTCATATAACCATAGCACTTCAAACGGTAAAAACGAATATTTATGCTTGGTCGACCCCCCCCAACCACAAAAAAACAAGAACAAAAAACAAAAACGAAAAAACAAACAAACAAGCCCTAAACAAATAACAATAACAACAAAACAAAAAACCGAAAAAGAACAAAACAATACCCAACAAAACAACTCCCACCCAAAAAAAAAATTCAAACAAAAAATCCCCACGCACATAAGCAGCAGCAGCATCAAGGAGAGTAATAATAACAAAGAACACAAAAAGAAACAATGACACCATTAACAAAGGTAGCAATAACCGAAACATCGACAATAATAATGTCGGTAGCCGCACTGAGGCATCAACCCCAACATCAGCAACATCAACCACAAGAACATAAATGGCTTCAAACTCGAGTACTTGCAAGAACAAAATGGAATACTGACGACATCATCATCATATCAACAATAACAACAACAAAAGCAACAATAGGTATAATAGAGAGAAACATTTAACGAAACGTTTTACAACGAGCAGAAAGAGGTGACGAGATCATAGACGCCTGATTTCAAGATAAGTGTAAAAGGAAAGAAAGAATTCCGCTGTTCTCTGTTTCTATCACGCGGGACACAATCGTCTGATGTTCCGTGTCCATTTAGCCACTTCAATTCTCTAATCTCCCCGCTTGTTCTTGAGTGTCTTACAAAAGGGAGGTAACAAGGCCGTATAAATGCACAGATTGATCACGAAAACACCTATCAAACAGGGCAAAGGAGAGAGGGACAAGGGCTGGGCTATATCTGTCACGGGCAGAGCCGTGAAGAGCTCATTAAGAAAAATCCACGCCAATCAATTAGTTATCAGAATACCGTTTTAAAGCGCTTCCCAATCGATGGCTGACGTTTTTATAGAGACGCCTATCTGCCCTTATTTCCGAGTTTCTTTGTGTATTGAGTAAAGTGGGAGGTAAGATAATTTTATCTTCGCTAGCGATATGATTTCGTGCTCGAACTTTGTAAGCAGATTATGACACATCTTTTTACACTATTCTGTGCGGTGTCTTCAGGTAATGAATTTATCAACATGATTTTCTATCGTTAAACCGGTGGTGAACACTATCAAGCTCATTTTATTGATATAAGGTCTATGTTCAATGCATCTTTCAACACTCTGCTACTATTAAACAGATGCAACCTCAATTTTAGGGTCGATCTCCTAATGGACCGAGATAAGGGAAAAATAGAAAGAGGGGGGGG